CATGCATGCTTGCATACTAAGGACACCCACCCCGCCGGAACACCACAGAACCCTTCATACACCCACTTGCCTGGTGGCCCCTTCCCACAGCCAGGCCACCATAAAGGGTACCCCTTCTGCTATGACTCTAATCTCAACTCATCTAACTTTCTCAACATTCACTATGGCCAGTTTATATTTTTTTAAAGCACTTCTAACATATGTAAATATATTTGTAAATTAAACATTTACTCTGAGGTACATTTTAAAGCATCTACATATATTGTAAAATGAATACAAAGATTATAGAGATAAAGATATGAGTATGTTAAGACAATTGTACATTATTCACTTCTAAAATACTTAAATAATGAAAGCAATTTTCTTTTCTCTCTTTTCTTCTTCTTCTTTTTTTTTTTTTTTTTTTTTTTGGTTTTAAAAGACAGGGTTTCTCTGTGTAACAGTCCTGGCTGTTCTAGAACTCACTCTGCTCTGTAGACCAGACCACCTGCCTCTACCTCCCAAGTGCTTGGATTAAAGACATGTGAAAGCAATTTTCTTAATGTTTGCATAAACTTGTTCACAGAAGCACACAATACTAAGGGTAGACCTCAAGGAATTTTCACTTATAACAGCAGGTATGTGAAGATCATGACCCAGCTCTAAGGGGCACCCACTACTGTGGTTTCTGTTAGCATGGATTCACCTTGTGTACTCCTAATCCATCTAAGGGGCGCATGCAGTGTATGTACCAGTGTCTGTGTGGGAATGAATGTTGTAATTCACCCAGATTTTCCAGCTGAATTGGCGTTCACTGGCCCCTTGTGACTCTGGCGTTTCATCAAGGAACCACCATCCTACTAGGATCCTAATAGAATGTCTGTCCATGCTATTACTGACAAGCTCTGGCCTTGCTTCCCATTTGGGCAATTAGAGTCAGTGCTGCTGCCAACATTGCGGAGCAAGGCTTCTGGGACACACCTGCCTGTCATTCTCTGTGTCAGTCTCAAAGCTGGCTTGGTGGAGCCAAGCCTCAATTTGGGGGTGGAGGTTGTGTCTGGCTTTAGGGACAATGCTGGTTTTCAAGGTGGCTAAGCCAGCTTACACTCCCATTGGCATGGATAGAAATTTGCCTGCTCCATGGTCTTTTCTCCTTCCTACTAGCTATTCCGGTGAAGAGGTGTTCACAGTCACTTTAGAGAAGGGAACAGTGACAGGCCTCTCAAACTTACAGACCTGAGGTGAGTACGAGCCAAGTGTGATATGGTTTTAGTTATTTCTTCATAAAACCCTGAGAAGAGGTCACTACAGCACTGCGGGAAAGGACACATAGGCCAATTCAAATGCAAGAGGGATCCACAGAAGAAAGTGGAGACAAATACAGCCCAAGAGCTGAGAGCAGGATGGTGATGATCCCATTGTTTTCTCACTTTTTCCACAACTAATATTTAATAAATAAAGATTTTAAAACAGAATTTATGGGACCCAAACTCACTCTTTAAAACTCTGGAGTTCAGTGGTTCTCACATAGTCCGTGAGGGCCTTGGTCATCACTGCTTGCCATTTACAGAACTTTCGTCACCGTCTTCCAAAACCCTCTGCCCACACACTAGTTAGCCCTTCACCAGCCCTCCAGTCACTGACCCACCTTCTGCGTCTACGGCTCTGCCTCTTCTGGACACATCACACAAATGGAATCATGCCCCCCCTTTTACCATGACTGTTTCTTGTCCACCCACACTACAGTACCAAGCTGCACTAGTGTAACAATCTGCTGTGTGCAGCTCAAGGGGCCCACACCCTGGACATTCTCCCATCCATTCATCAACTGACAGGTATTTGGGGTGTCTTGGTTCTATTACAATGCAGCTAAGAACACCTGTCTCTTGGGTATACACTTCAGAGTGGAATGGCTAGGTCACAGGGTAGCTCAAGATTCAACTGAATATCATTGTTGTGTTTTCCAAAGACTATGCACTGGAACAAAGGTGCCCATGAAACTGCCCCACAAGACAGTACTCCCAAAGAACTGCCTTGAAAGCAGCTCAGGTAGGTGGCATACCTGTTCAGCATGACATGAAACAGAAGGCACATACCCAGACACACTAGATGGCTGGAAAGGGCTGCCAAACTTCAGCCCAGCTCTCTGAAGAGCATTCTCATGCAGGGGCTTTGCTTGGAGCTGGATCCCGCTCCTGCCTTAACTTTATCACTTTATGTTTCATCTTCTTTCAATAACTATTTCGTGTTTTATTTTATGATCACAGTCATAATTATTGAGAAGTGGCTGAGGCCTGGAATGGCTCCACTCTGCTGGTCTTTTCCCATTGTCACAGTGCATGTGATTTGGGGTCTGACTCACCTCTCAATTGCTGAGCATACCTTCTATCAGATTTTCCCCCAGGAACAGTGTTAGTGTGGGTGTAGCAGAAGCTACACATAAAAGGTGGGTGCTGGAATACCTGAAGGGTCCCTGTTACAATCAGATGTGAACTGAAACTCGGCTAGACAGCAAACACTCATCGGGCATTATTCCTTCCCCACAGCCGGATGGCACTGCTCCACTGGCCCTAGGCAGCTCCACTGCGCGTCAACTCTGTTGACAGGGTATTTTTTCTCTGAAGGGTTCTTTGGCAAGGGTGTAAATTGTGTCTGTCTTTGAAATTAAAATTTCACCTAGAAATCATGGGTTCATTTTTGCTTTTTGTCTGGTTCACAGTCATCCCTTACAATCTGCAGACTTGGGTCTTTTTCTGGTTTTATAATTGAGGATTCTTTCTAATGCCCCATCCAGACCTCCAGCTTAGGCACTCTGGAGGACACACACTGACCCATCTCGTCCAAGCCTCCCCTCAGTTTTCTTCCTCCTGTCCCAGGATGCTCAGCAACTTCTGACGCTGACGTGTGATTTACTTTCTAGCATCCTTCGGTCAGTAAGTCCCTTCCTTCTCTTCTCAGCCTGTTGTCTTATCTCTCAGGGCATTTCTGACTTCCCCAAGAGAGCAACATTGATGATAGGATACCTGCTCCAGTTTCATGGGCAAACTTCCTTACGGGCTGATTCTTCTTGGTGCATCTCTCTGGGGTTAGTTTTTCTGCCTTTTCTACCTGTCCATTCTTTGTTTTCTGGATTGCTTATTTTGAGATAGGGTCTCACACTGTAGCTCATGTTGGCCTCAAATGTCTAAGGTTGGAATGCAGATGGAAAGACTAGAGCTCCAGCAACCATCTTAGGCCATGAGATAGCCTCAGACTTAGAAAGTACTTAGGTCTATGACCCAGCATGCTCCTTACCTACTTTGAGCCAATAACTTCCTAACTTTTCACATATGAAGAAGAAAGTTGTATCTTATTATGTCTTTATTCTCTTGCATTTCTTTTTTTGTTGTTGGTGGTGGTGGTGGTTTTACTTTGTTTTTTTGAGACAGGGTCTCTCTTTATAGCCTTGGTTGTCCTGAAATTCACTCTGTAGACCAGGCTGGCCTCAAGTTAGAGATCCAAATGCCTCTGCCTCCTGAGTGCTGGGATTAGAGACGTGCACCACCACTGCCCAGCTTCTCTTGCATTTCTAACACTTGTGGCCCAACCCAAAGAATAACAGTTAAATGAGAAAGTGACTCACAATAGCTACAGCCATATGATGCTCAGCCTTCATTACCCACTTGACTGGATTTAGAATCCCACTCAGAAGTCTCTGAGGACATTTGTGGAGAGGTTTAAGTAACAAGGAAAGACTCTAAATGTGGGCAGCACTATCCCTGTCCTGCAGTCTGGGGCTGAATAGACGTGAACCAGAATTCACCTCTCTGCTTCTGAGTGGCAGACAAGGTCATGACTTCCTGCCACGGTGGACTATATCCCTTACACGGTGAGCCAGTTCAAACCTCTCCTTCCTTAGGTGCCCCCACTCAGGCATTTTGTTAACAGCAATGAAAAAAGGTAACCAACTCAAGTGATCTCTAGTCTCCATCAACAAAGTCTCACAAAATGTTTACACCTATCAGCCAAACACATTGAAAGAAACAAGAATCTGTACAAATGAAGATGATTTCACTGCTTTAAAAAATTAACATACTGGAGGTGGGAATTTCCATCAGTGGTGTGCTTGCCTAGCAAGCACAAGGTTCTGGATTAGGTACCCAGTACCAAAGGAAGAAATTGACATTTTAACCAACTCATTTTCCCAAATGAACAGCATCATTTTATCATGTTTTATAAAATATCCTATAATCATGCTACATCTTTTTTTTTTTTTTTTTTGGTTTTTCAAGACAGGGTTTCTCTGTGGCTTTGGAGCTTGTCCTGGAACTAGCTCTTGTAGACCAGACTGGTCTCGAACTCACAGAGATCCGCCTGCCTCTGCCTCCTGAGTGCTGGGATTAAAGGTGTGGGCCACCACCGCCCGGAATCATGCTACATCTTTACCAACATTTAAAATATATCTTGTCATTGCTATTTAAACGCTCTGGGAAGAGCCAGAAACTGATTGACTTTAATTTATTTAGTCTATTCATTCACTACCCATTGGCAAAGGTTACTCTGTAACAAGCACAGTTACAAAAATGAAGTTTTGGGGTAAAGGTAGGGAGCAATCCTAATCCCACCTACCATGTATGCCAGCTCAGACACAGGGAGGGGGTGAGGAGTCATGGAAACATTTTGTCCTCGTTACCCAGGCAGGGATGGGAATGTCTTCCCCTCTCCTTCACAGCCATCTTAGACCCGCCACCAAGGTTTGGGGGTCTTGTGCATCATTTCCCATCACACGTGTTTTCTGTGACTTCCTACATTAGTTAATATGAACCACCATGCTCCCCTACTACACTCAACACTGTCTGTGCCTGTGAATCTGGTTTTCCTTCTCTTGTGCACATGTTCACACAGCTGAACTTGATGACACTGATTTCACACCTGTGTCCGACTGGTTTGACTCAGTGGAACTGTCTGAAAAGGTGTTCAGGTGATGGGAACGCCATCACCATCATCTACACATCACTAGGCATCTTGTCCATATAACATACCATGAATCCGTACAATGACTGTCTAAGGTGGGTACTGCTATCGCAGACACTGAAGATGAACAAACAGCTGGTAGCCAGTTTATCCAAGCACCTGAGCTGCAGGAACAGAAAGATCAATCACAAATTTATGGTCAAGTTGGGGTACACATTAAGACCACTGACAAATATGAAATAAGAATTGGTGTGAAGGTTAGGCAGGTAAAAGTGCGTACTTGCTACATAACTCTGAGCTTGATCCCCAGATTCCACATGGAAGAAGAAAACAAGACTAAGCTGTCCTCCTCCACCTGTGTACCATGTATACATGCGTGCGCACGCACACACACACACGCACACACACACACACACACACACACACACACACACCCCATAGAAAACTGACTCCCAGAGTTGTACTGGTACACCATGTATACACACACACACACACCATATACTTGCACACACAATAATAATAAAATAAAATAAATGTTAATTAAAAAATTAAAATCGCCAGGCAGAGGTGGCACACGCCTTTAATCCCAGCACTCGGGAGGCAGAGGCAGGCGGATTTCTGTGAGTTCAAGACCAGCCTGGTCTACAAGAGCTAGTTCCAGGATAGGCTCCAAAGCCACAGAGAAACCCTGTCTCAAAAAACCAAAAAAAAAAAAATCCCAGCACTTGGAAGGCAGAGGCAGGCAGATCTCTGAGTTCGAGGCTAGCCTGATCTACAAAAGCTAGTTCCAGGTTAAGCTCCAAAGCTACAAAGAAATCCTGTCTCGAAAATAAATAAATAAATAAATAATCAAGTGAGCTAACAGGCCTGGGAAGGTTATGTAACTCACCTAGAACCACCCACCAGCTGGAGTACTCTCACTGGGATTGAGTATTTGGACAAAGGGTTTGAGCTCAGCTCAGACTGACCCCAGGTTTGAACCACCCTCTGCCTTATCTCTCAAGGACCGCCTGGTGCACACGTTCCTGATCCCCTGTCTCACATTCCAGCCACTGTCTCCTTCTCGGCTCAATCAACATAGCCACTTTTCCTCTTCCTTCCCAGCCCCAGCACTTAGGCCAGCTGTATCCCTCACATGTGCCTCTCCTGTCACTACTCTGTACCTGCAGCTTCCAGTACACGGGTCAGTGCCTCAGCTCCACTCAGCTCTCAGGTTCCTGATCACAGACCAGTTTCCCACTGGCCTATAAGCTACTTCTGTCATCAGGGTCTCAAGCCTATTGAAACCTCCAATTTGACCAGTTCAACAGTCTCTCTAGCCCACAGCAGGCTGGGTAGACCTTGTGTACTCTGTGACACCTCAAACCACATTAGTCCATCGGAATTGCTTAAATCCCTTCTCAGGTCCTCTTCCAACAGTTCTGATGAGCAGCCTATGCTAGATCCAGATGCACACCCTTCCACTAGAATTGCAGATCCTTCCTGAACCCCAGAATGTTGGGCAGATTGGGGGATGACACTCTTCCTGCTCTGGGGCCTGAGATTTCTTCCCACGGGGCTAGCAACAGAAGGCTTCAATAATTTCTTGAGGTTGTCTAAGAGACTGGCTGCAGCAAAAACCTTCTCTTAGTCTTCACTCAGAGAAAATAAAGGTAAATTCTTTGGAAGTCAGGACATAACTAACTGATGAACACCACAGCATGAGAGAAGGAGACTCTGATGTTGCCAACACAAAAGGGCCCAGTTCGGGGGCAGGAGAAAGACCCTGATGGAAGGAGGCAGAGGCAGGTGCCTGCACCATGGCCTTCCTTCTTAGTTGACCACGCTTCCTCTTGCCCTTCCCCCCGGCCCCTCCACTGTGCCCAGAGTCCCCATACCGGCACTCACATCCTTTGCTTACCACACAGCCCTCCTGAGCAATCCCTCACCCCCTACAGCAAACCCCAGAGGTCATAACTTAAGAATGACCTATCCAGGAGGCATTTGGAAGCCCCCGTGAAGAATGTCAGCTTCCCTCTCCCTGGCGCTGCCAGCTGCTGATGTTCCCAACAACAAACATGTTCAGCAAGAAGTTTCTTCTAGTACCAAATGAATGGATCAAACACCAATGAACAGTCCAGCCAAGGTGCACCATGGCTCCCCAGACTCAAAATTGCCAGACTCCAGTTCACTGCCTTCTTCCTCCCCACCTAATATTCCTTTCAAACTCCATTTCTCAGTGACTGAACCCACCCTCCATCTCCTGTCAACAAAGCAAAACAGCAACATCACCCTCTTTCCCTACTACATCATCAAGCGAAGACCAACTACCTCTGACATCACCCTCCTTCCCTACTACATCATCAAGCAAAGACCAACTACCTCTGACATCCCCTCCCTCCCTACTACATCATCAAGCAAAGACCAACTACCTCTGACATCACCCTCCTTCCTTACTACATCACCATGCAAGGGTCGGCCACTTTGGCTTCATACAAACAGCCCCCATGGCCAAGACGAGGACCTGGCATCTGGACTCTAGTAACAGCATCCATCATCTCCTGGTGTCTACCTTCTTCTTGCCATCATCCTTCACAGTATACCAGTGTCAGCAGTGACAGGGCCTGGAACCATCGACCCCAGGAAAAGGTCTAAATGCATGCTCGCTATCTGCTGAGCCTCTCTTTGAAGCCCCCTTCCACCAGCACTTCCCAGTTTCTCATTCAACCACACACTCAAAACACACTGGCCTGACCACCACACCAGTTCACCCCTACTTATGCGTAGCTGCCCAAATGCACCCCCTACCCAAGATGCACTGCACTCAGAAAGCTGAAGCCTTTCTCTGAGACCTGAAACGTGTGGTCTCAGGAGCTTCCATTCCCAAGTGTGGCCTCTCCCAACACTGCCCTATTCTCATTAACTGTCTCCTGCCCATTAAGACTAAGGTAGTGACACAGTGTAGAGCTCTGCTGCATGCTCCACAGATGTGCACAACATGACTAAAAACCACTAGTGAAGCAAGGCATCCCACCATTCCCTCAAGAAGTGAGGAAGCAGCCAGACAACAGCCCAGAAGGAGAAGATTAGCTGACAGATGGACAGTCCTGAGCAGCGTGGCAGAGATTTCTAGCTCAGTTCAAGCAATGCCATTTCCTAGGACCGGCATTCATCTCTCCCTTGTTCTTAACACTGGCCAAACTGGCATTCTCCGGCCTCCAACTTTTGGGGTATTTTTTTCTTTTTGGGTTTTCAAGACAGGGTTTCTCTGTGTAATATGTCCTGTAATTTGCTCTGTAGACTAGGCTACACTTGAACTCACATAGATCTGCCTGCTTCTGCCTCCTGAGTGCTGCAATTAAAGGGGTGTGCCACCATAGCCTGGCTATGTCTCCAATTCTTAAGTGTTGGATGACAGACAAAATGTCACCACACTGGGCTGCTGATTTATTACTGCTCTGTGCTTAGTCACCTAATATTTGTACAAGACAGAGGGGACAGGGCTGGTTCCTACTGCTCCACAGCCAGCACAATGTCAACTCCCTAGCCCCAACATGGACTGCACAAGTAGACAGATGGGCAGGACAGGAAGAACGAGGAGCAAGGCTTCCCTCTACCTTTGGCTGCAGGTGTGGTCTGACACTTCCAGCTCCTTCACGCTCCCTCAATCCTGGGCTTCCCTGCTTAGGAAGGATGTACATACACCAGGGAACTCCTCAGGGCAAATTCTGGCTCCACACTGGTGATTTTTTCCAAAATTCAGGCTGTTCCTCCCTATTCCAGGAGCACCACTGGGTATGCTAATAAAACTGGGTTCCAAGACCTTCCCAAGCCTAAGAAATTCCCCCACAACCGCCAGCCCAGACTCATGATGGAAGTCGAAGAACAGAGACATTTTCATCTTTGTCAGCCACCATCACCAGAGAGACAGCAGAGCCTCACACTCAGGGCTTAGTCCTGCTCCCTTGCACTCACAATGACAACTCAACCAAACACCCCGCTTCAGAGGTTGTCATCTGAGATGAACCCTTAATTGCTGACATGGTTTATTAGCTGTCATGTACAACAGTTAGCAACTGCTGCAAGATTGTTGCAGCCAATGGGTGTGCTCACATGGCGGAGAAACCAGGGTCACCGAGCAGTAAAGTCTCTGCCCTCATCTGGGAAGGGCAGAAGCATGAACCTCCAGACTGACACTCCACCCAATAAGCACAAAGGTGTGGGGTGCTAAGTGCAAAGGTGCCCAAGATAAGTTACATAAAAAAAAAAAACTAGCAAGTCAGCAAGGAGGCCACACACCAATCAGCAAATAACTTCTAATTGAAACCCTTTCTAACACAGAACCTGAATCCTAACTCTGGTCATCAGGCACCAAGCACACACCGTGATCACGATCTCGCTATTTACTACAAAGTCCTAACACTTCAATTTGAACTTAACTCCCTAAATCCAATGAGAGGAAATTTAAAATACATAAAAATCAAGCAAAACTATAATAGGTGTTTTTATCCAATGCAGCTCCATTTCCTCACCTCACCTGTGACTCCACCAGGTGAGTATCAGATCATACTTTAGGGTCTCTGGGGTGTGAAAAGAGGCACCTACAGAGGCAAAAGAACCAACTCTCTCATAGCCACACGTTGGGTAATCAACCCCTCTTGAGCTCCCACTGTCTTAGGTGCACCACATCTACCTTGCCTACCCTGCCCAATCAACATGAAGTGGAGGTAACTGTCACTGAGACATTCTGAGCGCTGTAAAGTGCTCCAATATTACAGGATGGAGGGGACCTCTGAGCCAACACCTTCTTGTTTTATGGACTTAAATCAGTCCATTTTCTTCATCAGTTCATTCTTCATACATTTAACTAATCATCAGATACCCACTGGTGAGCAAAACAGCCAATCCCTGGCACTGTAGATCCTGCACCAGGGACCCAGCCACTTATTTAAAGAGTTTGTCTGCAGGCCTGGCTAATGACTTGGTCTTCTTTCTTTAAGGAATTAGACACACAGAAGGGTTTAGGCAGTGGGAATGGCATTCTCAGATCCTTCTGACTACCCCAGCCTAGGATTCTACCTACCGGAGGGGAGATTCACAAATTGTCAATGGTCACATGGTGTCATTCCATAACACCACAACGTTGTGGAAGACCAGGAGAGGGCAATCTACAAATGTTACTGGA